CAGTCAGACATGACTGAGCGACTAACACTTTAGTGCCACCTGGGAAGCCCTTTATATATTTATACGTTGATCATGTTTCCCAGACTACACGTGTATATGAAATTCAAGCTTATCTGGCATAGTGTCTTTATCTGGCAACACCATCCCAATGGTCGTGTTTCCACCTATCCCACCTTAATCTGGAGTTTGATGTCCTTTTCTAGATCACAGTCTTCTCTGGAAAATGGAAGTTCTTAGAGAATGGATGAGGGAAAATTTAAGGCCATGTTGCCTTTCCTACAATTGCCTTTGTCACAGGTTAGGAACATTAATGAGGAAAAGGAACAAAGTTTTTGTCTCAGGCTAAATATAAGCACATCTGAACTTGGCAAGAGAAGTTTGGTGGAGCCTGAACTTTATTTCCATTCCCTGAACATCTTCCCTGTTCATAGGTTACCTATTGTTTCTAAGGAAGGTGAATCCTGATGGAGTCTGCATGGAGGACAATATTCAGAGAAGAGGAGTCATAAAGGACACCTATAGATTGTTCTAAATTTTAGTGTTTGGTGGCATTATGATATGATACAAAAGAGAACCTACCTAGTACAGAGTACATGCTTTAGTGCATATATGTTCCTTGGGCTTCCCAGGTAGCACTAGTGGTAAATAACTCACCTGCCCATGCAGGAAACATAAGAGACCCAGGTTCAATCCCTGGGTCTGGAATATCCCCTGGACGAGGGCATGGCAGTCCAATCAAGTATTCTTGCCTGGAGAATCCCCATGGGCTCTGGAGTCTGGTGGGCTACAATCATAGGGTTGCAAAGAGCCAGACACGACTGAAGCAACTTAGCATGCATGTATATATGTTCATTACTATTCTCTCATTCTTTAATATCCCAATTATTTCAATTCATTCAACATTAAAAATTCAAAGAAAAATTTTACTTGTATACTTTGTGCTTGCTTGATTAATAAACACAGTTAAAGCTAACATTTAGAAAAATGTGACTATACAAAGTAGTTTGCTGATCTCACAAGATTAAGGTATTATTTCAGTCATTCTAAATGATATTGGTATTTGAGTTCAAATTACTTTCCAGGCTGGCTCTGAAAAGGGCAAAATTGTTTTCCAGAAGACATTGGTAAAAGTCTGCTAGACTGAGAAGTCAGTTCTTATGTTCTCTGCGGTGTGCGAGAACACTGTGCCTTTCCCCATAAACACGGAGGGAAGGCTAATGGGCTCTGGGGACTTCTGACAGGGAAGATAATGAAAGGTGCCTTCGTACCTGGGCTGTTCAGCACCATTGACCTTCCCTGTAATTGAAACACATGAAAGGGAGTGGGAAGTGAGAGACAAGGCTCTGTCTATTTCCTGGCAGGTACAGTTACTTAAGCCTCCAAATAAACAAATGACTTTAGATTCCCACTTCAAAGTACTGCTTTTAAATCATTCTTTACAAAAAAATCAACTAGAGATATCACTTTTTCTTTTTTAACTCTAATAATATAATCATTTCTTTCTTTTGATCTGTGTTTGTGGATTAAAAGCATATCCACCTCAATAAGGTAGGTGGGCGTTTGCTACTTAACTAATGTAACTAATACAATCCACCATGTAGAAAATGTTACCAGAAAAAAAAAAAAGAAAGAAGTCTTAAAGGTTTACCATAGGAGACCAATATAGAATTCAAAGTGGTTTAAGACTGACAGGCAACAATAGTATTTCATTTCCCACACATGAAATCACTTTATGGAAATGAAAAATGGAAATGCAGAAATTGAACCTAGTTTAAACTGAGGAATAACATCATTTTGTAATCACAATACAAGGAAAATGAACCTAATCCTATAAATGTGTGTATGGACATAAAGAATCATCATTATGTCAATGACAAAACAATAGAGCAATGGAATTGTGTGTGTGTGTGTGTGTGTGTGTGTGTTGTGTCTGTGCGTGTGTGTGTGTTGTGTGTGTGTGCGTGTTGTGTGTGTGTGTTGTGTGTGTGTGTGTGTTGTGTGTGTGTGTGTGTGTTGTGTGTAGGGAGTTGTTATTAACACTTCTCGCTTCCCTTGTGGCTCAGATGGTAAAGCATCTGCCCGCAGTGCGGGAGACCCAGGTTGGATTCCTGGGGTGGGAAGATCCCCTGGAGAAGGAAATGGCAACCCACTCCAGTACTCTTGCCTGGAAAATTCCATGGACTGAGGAGCCTGGTAGGCTACAGTCCATGGGCTCACAGAGTCAGACATGGCTGAGCGACTTCACTTTCACTATGCCAATTATACTCGTACAAACAAGCATGTATTTCTGTGTAAGACAAAAACATCTAGAAAAGCATTTTTAAAAGTAGTTATCTTTGCAAAAGCTACAAATTCCTGTAATTAAAAAGTCATCCAGCTCATGTCACATACTCAGAGTATCATCTAGTGGCATTTGTATCAGAACTTGCTATTATAAGTTAGAGTCTATCTGCTTTTGAATCTACTTGAATTATGCAGCAATTACTTGAACTAAATTAGAAAAATGTTAAACATTTCTATTGTCTAAACCAAGATGAAACTGAAAGAAAGCAAGATGTTTCAAAGTTTCTGATACAGTTTTAAGTGAAAATGGGGAGTAAGTGAAGTTACCAGGTGGGAAATAGTCAGATGGGATATAAAACAATAAAGGCCCTTATATGATAAGCCCTTTACTGACATTATGCTCAATGAAAGCTTTTCCTCTGATATCAGGAACAAGAGAGGGATGTCCACAGATGCCGCTTTTATTCAATATAATATTAGAAGTCCTACTCAGAGTAACTCGGCAAGAAATCAAAGGCATCCAGTTAGAAAGGAAAAAGTAGCATTCTCAATATTTGCAGATGATGTTATTATACATACAAAATCCTAAATACTTCACCAAAAAGTTCTTAGAAGTAATAACAACTCTAGTTGCAGACTACAAAATAAATATACAAAACTTGGTTGCATTCCTATACACTAATAATGAACTATTAGGGAAAAAAATAAGCATTGCATCAAAAAAATAAAATACCTATGAATAAATTTAACCATGGAAGTGAAAGTCCTGTACTCTGAAATCTATGGCATTGATGAAAGCAATTGAAGAACACAGAAATAAATGGAACAATATTCTGTGGCTCATAGATAAGAAGAATTATTGTTAAAATGTTCATACAACCTAAAGCAATCTAGAGATTCAATTCAGTTCCTATCAAAATTCCAATGCAATTTTCACAGAAATAGAGAAAAAGAAAAAAAAACCTAAAATATGTAAGGAGCCACAAAATACCTGAATAACCAAAGCAATCTTCAGAGAGAACAAATCTGGAGGTATCATGCTTCCTGATTTTAAATTGTATTACAAAACTATGATATAGTATTGGTATAAAAACAGGCACATTGATTAAAGGAACAGAATCAAGAGCCCCAAAACAAATCCACACAGATATAAGCAATTTATTTATCACAAAGGAGCCAAGAGTATGCAATGGGAAAGGACAATCTCTTCAATAAATGGTGTTGGGAGAACTGGACAGCCATACCCAAAAGAATAAAACTGGGCTACTATCTTACATCATACACAAAAAATAACTCAATGGAATAAAAACTTGAATGTAAGACCTGAAATCATTAGACTCCTAGAATAAAACCTACACAGCCAGCTCCTGTACATTAGTCTTGGCCAAGATTTTTTATATATGATGCCAGAAGCAAAGGCAATAAAAGTACAAATAAACAAGTGACTACATCAAACTTAGAAGCCTTTGTACAGTGAAGGAGGCTATCAACACAATGAAAGGGCAGCCAGCTGTGTGGGGGAAATATTTGCAAATAATGTATCTGATAATGGGCTAATATCTAATATACAGTAAGATCTCACACAACTCAATAGCAATCAGACAACCTAATTAAAAATGGGCAGAGGATCTAGATAGACATTATTCCAAGGAACACACACAGATGACCAACGTGTATCGAGAAAGATGCTCAACATCAGTAATCATCAGGGAGATACAGATCAAAACCACAAGGAGCTATCACCTCACAGCTGTTGGCGTGATCATCGTCCAAAGATAGGAAATCACAAGTGTTGACAAGGATGTGGAGAGAAGGGAACACTCGTGCACTCTTGGTGGGAACACAGATTGGTGCCACCACTGTGGAAACTCATGTGAAGTTTCCTCAAGGCATTGAAACTGAGAATGCCAAATGATACAGCAATTTCACTTCTGTGTGTTCATACAGGAAAAGAGGAAAACACTAACTCCAAAGGCTATGTGGCAGAGGTCGGGGTGTGGGGGTGGGAAGTAGGTGACATGAGTGAAGGGGGTTCAAAAGGTATGCTTTTCCAGTTACGAATAAATAAGACATGGGGCTGTAATGTATACCATGATGAATATCGTTAACAATACTGTATTGCATGTTTAAAAGTTGCTGAGAGTAATCTTAAAAGTTCTCATCACAAGAGAAAAATCTATGACTGTGTACAGTGATGGATGTTAACTAGACTTACTGTGATGATTATTTTGCAATATATACAAATATGAAATGATTCAAGTGTATGTCTGAAACCAATATAGTGTTCTATGTAAATTATACCTCAATAGGAAAATTCTTATATCAAGATCAGATGTCTATGTTGATTTTAAATTAGAAAAAACTTTGAAGGATACACTCAACTCTGTCTCCCTCTTCCTTCCCAATAGAAGTAAAGACAAACTGTTACCCTTATGCCTTTCATAAAATTAGAAATTCTGTTTAAAGAATATATCTTAATTTTTCATGATGTACTCCTGCTGAGTTGGTCCAATAACCTTTGGTTCTGTTCTGATAACTCCTGGACGGCCCGTGTTTTCTCTCGATCTGCTTCCTGTAGATGAACCTGCTGCCTCTCCAACTCATCCTGAAGCTGCTTCACATCACTCTCCAGCTCAGACACACGCCCTTCCCACTCGCCTTCTCGGTTCTCAAATCGTCTTCTTAGTTCGTGTTTCTCTTGTTCTAAGTGCTCCAGCTTATCTGTTAGTTCCTTGTGCATCTGTTCGTACTGCCGGCTCATGTCCTGATTTCTCTCGAGCAATGCCTTGCCCAGTCGGGCCGCCAAGACCAGATCCTTCTTCCCGGATCACTGACAGCAGCTCGGGATCCTGGGCGGGCGGCGGCTGCAGTCCGGCCGCCTTGGCTGGAGGCCCGGGCTCGGCCTGAGGATGCTCCCCGGGCTCGGACGGCCGTTCTCCAGCCGCCAGCAGCGCCAGCTGCTCCTCTAACGCCAGTTCCAACTCCCCGGGGCCCCCGATGAGGGCAGTGGCGGTGGCGGCGGCTGGATTCCCGACTGCGTCCGCGGCCGCGGCGGGCAGCTCCGTGCAGCAGGCGCTGTCCAGCTCTGAGGGTGCTGAAGCGCGGCCGGCCAAGCCCAGGCAGAAGGCGGACATGGCCCGCGCGCCGAGCCTGCAGCGGTGCGGCCCGGCCGGCGCGCGCCAGGCTGGAGGGGGGAGGGGCCCCGCCGCGCCGCCCCGCGCCCCGCGCCTCGCCTCACGCCGCGGCACGCGCCCCTCGGGTCTCCGCGAGCCCTGGGCGGGGCGCGCGCCGGTCCGCCCCTCCCCACGCCGCGGCACGCGCCCCCTCCCCCCGCCCCCCGGGCTCAGCTGCTCTGCGCGCGCCGGGGAGGAGGAGGCCGGGAGGTGGCAGAGGGAAGGCTGAGGGAGGGAAGACTGCAGGGACGCGAAGCGGGAGGGGAGGTTGCGGGGAGGAAAGCCGCTGCCGGGTCTTCAGCCACCCTGTTGCTGCTGCTCCCGCTGCCGCCGCCGGCCGGGCAGCGCCTCACGGGGCGGGCTGCGCTCCGCTGTCGCTGCGACGCTCGCTGCTGCTGCCGGCGGCCGCTCTCTGCAGCCGCGCTCCCTGTCCTTCGGCTCGGTGGCAGCCCCAGCAGCAGCGGCGGCGGCGGCGGCGGCTGCTGCAGGCGCCGAGGCGGCGGCTCCACCTGTATCTTAATTTTTAAAAAAATTGAATAAAAAGGATATTTTCCCCTGGCCGCTCATGTTGTTGATTCTGTGAATTTATCCTTCCTTGTAATGTGACTGAAGGAAGTTCTAGAACCTCCCTTTTCTTTACATGTTTGCACCTTAGCTACTGCCATCAGTGGGCATGTGGTGATTGACTTCGGTGGAATGCTGGCTAGCTGACTCTGTATTTCATTTTAATTTTATGTTTCTCTGATTCTGTTTGTGCCAGAATGTCAGGAAAAGTATCTGTGTGTGATTCTATGTGTGCCAGAATGTCAGGAAAAGTATCTGTGTTGTTTATCTGTGTGCAGTCATATGAAATATTTATTAAGCCTCTTTGGAAATACCAAGAAGTAGTGCTTTTACACTTTAAGATCTTAGCTGTGATTTTCCTATCTTAGACACCAGTATCTATTTAGATGTGCTAGGCGTTTTAGCCGTGTCCAACTCTTTGTAACCCCACGGACTGTAGCCCACCAGGCTCCTCTTGTCCATGGGATTCTCCAGGCAAGAATACTGGAGTGGATTGCCATGCCCTTCTCCAGGGGACCTTCCAGACCCAGGGATCGAATCCACATCTGCGGCTATAGGATTCTTTACTGCTGAGTCACCAGAGAAGCCAGTATCTATCTTAGATACCAGTGTTAGTCCCCCAAACTCTTACTAGATTGAATAGGGCTGAACTGGAAAGAAATATTATAAGCAGATAAGGTAGGGGTTTCATGATGGCATAGCTTTCTTGACGTAAGAGAAGCCATTTTTGGTCCAAAGCCATTTTTGGTCCAAAGCCATTTCTAATCAAAGTTTGGCCACAATACTTGCCCTCGAACAGGTCTCAGTAATTAAGGATCTTAAGTGGAAAAAAAAATAATTCAGACTGTTATCAGGTAACAATAGCAAAGATAATAATAGCAAAGTAACAATAGCAAAGATAATATCAGTTTTAAAGACTCCCAGTTCTGTTTCAGTGGTAAGGATTAGCCTAAAGTTCTCAGCCACCTGGTCAAGCGGAACCCAAGAGATGATAGTGTTGACTTTTTCTGACCCTCAGGATTTCAGGCAACTAAAGGCTGGACTCTGCCTACCTCCCAAGCCTCTTTATGAATACACACATACCCTTAATGTAAAACTTCCCCAGTTTTGCTCTTCCGGGAGACTTTGCTTTGATAAGTGTTGCTGGTGTTCTACTTACCTGCTGCAAGTAATAAATCTTTCTTTCTTCCGCTTTTTGCTTTGGTTGTGTTTTTCAAGCTCAACATCCACCAACAGGCAGACTCAGTTTTTTGGATAACAATATGAGGTTGACAATTCCTGTAGCTGAGATTTACATAATTAGATGCATTATCCTTTGGCTGTTAAAACCCAGGCTTCCAAGGACTAATTATAGAAAACACAGCTCATCGGAGAGAACCTGCAAAGACGCTGTGCACTGTGTGTTTTATATTGTGCATGTGATGTTTGTTCTCACTGGAGTCTGTCTCTCCATTACTGTTCTTCAGGATTTGTTGCCTGGGGGGTATGGGAAAAATTACTCCTAATAGAAATACTGTTATATTTTATTCACAGTATTCTAACTTTCAGAGTATTTAATGACAAAACTGTTCCCATTACCAGAGTAAAACTAAACATATTTTCAGATTTAAATAAAGCATGCAGAAATAATTTATAGGGAGAAAACTATTGAATGAAGAAGAAAAATGAATGGAGCCATGTTCGGTCTATGGAGAGCACTGGGAAAGGACTTCATTCAGGTGGGGCAAGCTGACCTTTCCTCCTCTCAGGGTAGGGAGTCCTGAGTGCACAGACTGCTCCCAGGGAGCAGGAAGGAGGAAACTGGAAGACTTTAGTCAGGAACTGCTACCAGTGTAGTTTCAGTTAAAATATACTTTCCTAGGCAACCTGTCTGCTTTTACACATATGAGAGTACACACACTTCTGAACATCTGAAGTTGATTTCTTGTCTTCTATTTTGTGACTCTTGCTAATTTCAAGTCCTCTTTTTTGTTTGGTGTGAATTCTGCAGTCACACATACACAAACACCCATGATGTTTAGACTCTGAATCATCACTTAGAGAAATGTGCAAGATTCTGTCTACGCGTTTTCTTCATCTTTTTCTTTTTTCAATTTTTTAAAGCATTTATTTTAATTTTGTATTGGAGTCCTGTTAGTTTCAGGTGTGCAGGAAAGTGATTCAGTTAAATATACATATATTCATTCTTTGTCAGATTCTTTACACATATAGGTTATTACAAGATGTTAAGTAGAGTTCCCTGGTCTATACAGTAGGTCCTTGTTGACGATCTATCAACCTTCTTGTATAAAAGCACAAAGTGCTGTGGAAAGTGGTCAAGGAATGTGGCAGACTATCCCTGGCCTGTGGGGATTTAGCTTGGAGAATGTGGTGGTTCTGTTAGACATCCTTTCTCCTCTGTGTCCACAGCTCTATCTGACCCAGGTCCCTGTGGATACACGTGGTGTAAGTACTTGACATTCCACTTTCCCTTGTAACCCTCAGATCGGTCCGCTGTTGGTTAAGACTTCTATTATCTTATGAAGCAGACAACGAAGCTGAGGTGTTGAGGAGCTGTGAGGGTCTGGCAGTTCAGTCAGTCAGTTCAGTCGCTCAGTCGTGTCCGACTCTCTGCAACCCCATGAACCGCAGCACGCCAGACCTCCCTGTCCATCACCAGCTCCCGGAGTCCACCCAAACCCATGTCCATCGAGTCGGTGATGCCATCTAACCATTTTATCCTCTGTCGTCCCCTTCTCCTCCTGCCCTCAATCTTTCCCAGCATCAGGGTCTTTTCAAATGAATCAGTTCTTCCCATCAGGTGGCCACAGTATTGGAGTTTCAGCTTCAACATCAGTCCTTCCAATGAACACCCAGGACTGATCTTTAGGATGGACTGGTTGGATCTCCTTGCAGTCCAAGGGACTCTCAAGATTCTTCTCCAACACCACAGTTCAAGACCACCAATTCTTCAGTGCTCAGCTTTCTTTGTAGTCCAACTCTCACATCCATACATGACCACTGGAAAAACCATAGCCTTGACTAGACAGACCTTTGTTGACAAAGCAATGTCTCTGCTTTTCAATATGCTGTCTAGGTTGGTCATAACTTTCTTTCCAAGGAGTATGTGTCTTTTAATTTCATGGCTGCAGTCACCATCTGCAGTGATTTTGGAGCCCAGAAAAATAAAGTCAGCCACTGTTTCCACTGTTTCCCCATCTATTTGCCATGAGGTGATGGGACCAGATGCCATGATATTAGTTTTCTGAATGTTGAGCTTTAAGCCAATTTTTTCACTCTCCTCTTTCACTTTAATCAAGAGGCTCTTTAGTTCTTCTTCACTTTCTGCCATAAGGGTGGTGTCACCTGCATATCTGAGGTTACTGATATTTCTCCTGGCAATCTTGATTCCAGCTTGTGCTTCTTCCAGCCCAGCGTTTCTCATGATGTACTCTGCATAGAAGTTGAATAAGCAGGGTGACAATATACAGCCTTGATGTACTCCTTTTCCTAATGGAAACCAGTCTGTTGTTCCATGTCCAGTTCTAACTGTTGCTTCCTGACCTGCATACAGGTTTCTCAAGAGGCAGATCAGGTAGTCTGTTATCCCCATCTCTTTCAGAATTTTCCAAAGTTTATTGTGATTCACACAGTCAAAGGCTTTGGCATAGTCAATAAAGCAGAAATAGATGTTTTTCTGGAAATCTCTTGCTTTTTCGTTGACCCAATGGGGTGTTGGCAATTTGATCTCTGGTTCCTCTGCCTTTTCTAAAACCAGCTTGAATATCTGGAAGTTCACGGTTCACATATTGGTGAAGCCTGGCTTGGAGAATTTTAAGCATTACTTTACTAGTGTGTGAGATGAGTGCAATTGTGCCGTAGTTTGAGCATTCTTTGGGATTGCCTTTCTTTGGGATTAGAATGAAGACTGACCTTTTCCAGTCCTGTAGCCACTGCTGAGTTTTCCAAATTTGCTGACATATTGAGTGCAGCACTTTCACAACATCATCTTTCAGGATTTGAAATAGCTCAACTGGAATTCCATCACCTCCACTAGCTTTGTTCATAGTGATGCTTCCTAAGGCCCACTTCACTTCACATTCCAGGATGTCTGGCTCTAGGTGAGTGATCACACCATTCTGATTATCTGGGCCGTGAAGATCTTTTTTGTATGGTTCTTCTGTGCATTCGTGCCACCTCTTCTTAATATCTTCAGCTTCTGTTAGGTCCCTATGATTTCTGTCCTTTATTGAGCCCATCTTTGCATGAAATGTTCCCTTGATATCTCTAATTTTCTTGACGAGATCTCTAATCTTTCCCATTCTGTTGTTTTCCTCTGTTTCTTTGCATTGATCGCTGAGGAAGGCTTTCTTATCTCTCCTTTCTATTCTTTGGAACTCTGCATTCAAATGGGTATATCTTTCCTTTTCTCCTTTGCTTTTTGCTTCCCTTCTTTTCACAGCTATTTTTAACGCCTTCTCAGACAGCCATTTTGCTTTTTTGCATGTCTTTTTCTTGGGGATTGTCTTGATTCCTGTCTCCTGTACAATGTCCTGAACCTCCATCCATAGTTCATCAGGCACTCATCAGATCTAGTCCCTTAAATCTATTTCTCACTTCCACTGTATAGTCATAAGGGATTTGATTTAGGTCATACATGAATGGTCTAGTGGTTTTCTCCACTTTCTTCAATTTCAGTCTGAATTTGGCAGTAAGGAGTTCATGTTCTGGGCCACAGTCAGCTCCCAGTTTTGTTTTTGCTGACTGTATAGAGCTTCTCCATCTTTGGCTGCAAAGAATATAATCAATCTGATTTCGGTGTTGACCATCTGGTGATGTCCACATGTAGAGTCTTCTCTTGTGTTGTTGGAAGAGGGTGTTTGCTAAGACCAGTGCCTTCTCTTGGCAGAACTCTATTAGCCTTTGCCCTGCTTCATTCTGTACTCCAAGGCCAAATTTGCCTTTTACTGCAGGTGCTTCTTGACTTTCTACTTTTGCATTCCAGTCCCCTATAATGATTTCTGTGATATTGAGTGGTTTGCCTTGGAGAGGGTCTCACAGGTGGGTATCAGCTCCCAGGGCAGCTGTGTGACTGGTATATGGAATGCCCAGTAGGCTGCAGCACTTCATGGGGGTTTCATATCTGTAATTTCACAATGATTCTGTAGTTGGTTATCATCACCATTTTACAAACAAGAAAAGTGAAGCCACAAAGTCTCCAACTAAAGAAAGTGTTAGTTGCTTAGTCGTGTACCACTCTTTGGGACCCCATGGACTGTAGCCCGCAGGATCCTCTGCCCGTGGTGTTCTCTAGGCGAGAACACTGGAGTAGATTGCCATTCCCCTCTCCAGTGGATCTTCCTGACCCAGGAATCAAATCCGAGTTTCCTGCATTGCAGACAGATTCTTTATGTTTGAGCCACTGAGGGAACCTGACTAAAGAAGGCAGCTCGAAAGGGGAAAACCAGGAGTGTTACATCAGCTGTTTTCTAGCAAGTCCCTGCTTTGGGCGCTGGTTTCAGCCTTCTTCACTTAGGGCTGCCCTTGTCTTAGAAGGTCATGCAATGGCTCCAGAGCTGACGTCTGTCCAGAGATCGATGTTGTACACTGCACAAGGGTGCCGGGGTCCAGCCTCAGCAGGATCCAGGGGGTACCCTCAGGATGAACGGCGTTGGCGAGAGAAAGAGAGAAGACACATGAGACCAGCCTTGATAGGGCCAAGTCTGCGAGGGAGAGAGAGAGAGAGAGAGAGAGAGAGAGAGAGAGAGAGAGAGAGAGAGAGACCAGAAGGGGGTGCAGAGAGTCTGGCAGAGTCTGGCCATGCTTTATTTTTTGCCATAGCTTTTATACCCTAAGTTAGTACATTTCTAAGGGGAAGATAGTTTAACATTATGTCAGTTTGTCCTTCACAAAACCAGGGTGTTTTCTGCATACTTCTTTGTTTATGAGGGTCTTGTACATTATCTTCTGGCCTTGGGGGCTATTAACATTTTATGCAGGTCAGGTGAATGTAAACCTATCTTCTGTTTCTATGGTGACCTTAACTAAAAGGTAGCAGTCTCATAGGGCAGTAGTACAGAGTAGAATTATATTCTTGTTAATACAAAAATTAATCTTTCTGCAAAAGTTGTCTGTTGCATTTATCTAAGAAGTTTACCCCATACTGACTCTGCGACTTTGGTGAGGCAGCTTCTGCCTAGCACTCCTGGCTGACAATTAACAACTATCTCATTGCTACCACACTAGGGCTAAGTTCTTATTTCCCTAGATCTTTAACTATATTAACAATGGTTTTTAGAACACAACCTTAGCACATTAAAGGCAAAAATACAGCAAGCATAAACACAGCAAGCAAATCACAACCCAATAACCACCTATAGAATAATTTTTCTTATGTTTTCTAATAGGACTCCTTTACCCCTTAAAAGAGCTCTACATCTATTAGGGCTTTTATATAATCAGGTTCTTTATGCTATTTTATGATTAGGATATTATAAGCAATCATGCGTATTAATACCAAGCGCATAAATGTATTTGGCTAACAAACTACCAGCAAAGGAGTTTAAATTAAAACACTCCTTTCACCCTGAATAATCTCATAAAATACCACCACCTGGGAAACTTATTGATTAAAGTTCTAAATGGATTCTTATTTGGGAAGAGATGGGGAAGGCCTTCCTGCCTGTGTCAGAGAAATTAGGGAGTAGTCCATTGAGGCAGGCATCAGAAAGACAGATATCATCTTTAAGGTGAGTGCCGGGGGCAGCTTTTCGAAACCCCTGAAAACCTGATCCGCCTTGCCTGTCAGGGTTTCTCCTCATGACCTTGTTATGGGTGGGATCTCGTGAGCTGGCCTTTTCGAAAACCCCTGAAAACCTTATCCGCCTTGCCCGTCAGGTTTTCTCCCCTATGGCCTTTTTAGGGGTAGGGCCTCATGTGTTGGCTCCCGGCACAAGGGCATCTTCCTGCAAGTCTCAATCTCTTGTATATTGTTTCATCTCTAATTTGTGAAACTCCATCCCGAATGTCTGCTCAAGTAATTTAGCAGCACTGCCCTTTTTGGTTTTAATCGACATCAATTATTGAGGTGCCTACTAACCCATTTTAAATGGATTTCCTGTTAAAGATTAAATGTTTTCACAGGTGACAACTTTTCAGTTTCTGACACCTTAGAGCCCATGAGAAGGGGTTTCAGAGCTCAGCTGATCTGGTTTTAAGTCTGGCTTGCTTTGTGACACATCCTTTAAACTCTCTGACGTTAGTCTGCCTATCCATTAAATGGGTATACAACATTTACTTCAAAGGGATGCTGTGACCATCTATTTAGAACACACAGAAACACACAGACTGGTGTATAGGCTTTAAAAAATAATGAACGCTTAATGTAAATCATTACTTTATTTTAAAATTAAAAATAAAATATTCAAGTCTTGGGATATGTAGTAGGTACTGAAAACATGTGTGTTTAATGAATGCAGGTCATTCTACTGCTTGTGGCTTTTTTCAAGGTTCTAAATGCACTTCAAGCAAGATTTGCTGTCAGTGTTTCCCCAGGCCTATTGATTAATGGGGTGGCTGGGTGGGTGGGAAGAATTCATGACACCCAGGGTCCCTGAATAGGAATGGAAAATCTAGAAAGTTGAGATCAGAATCTCCATACTTGGGCAAATTCTCAGCAGTTCTACTTGTAAACTCTTGTGACCTTGCCAAGTTATTTTCATTTTCAATTCCCGTTTTTGTTTTTTACTCAGGTTGCAGAATAGAAATAATAGAAACACCTTCTCTGCTTTGTGTTCAGGCATATAATGCCCTGCTCAAAGCTAAAGTTCCTTTCATGTTCCGATCACTTTGGATGGTGCAAGAATGCCTGGAGCCTGTTCATAAGTCTCAGCACATTGCTATGAGTCTGGTCCCAGTTTTAGGAGGGTATTGACCCTAGTGATGCTATGCTCACACTGCCTTCATTTACACCTGCTGGCAGTCTCTTCAGAAAATAGAGGAGGCTGCCAGGCTTATTTCAAAGTCATGGATCTTGAAGTCCTTCTGACTCCATGGAAAAACAGGCCTCTATCTGTATACTCTGAAATCTTTATTTATTTGTGATGCCTTTTATATTGCTTTATTTTTCAGTATGATGCTTTGGGGAATTGTTATTGAAGAATTTGAGTGAAAAGCAATACACACACAGTATACAGAAGTTGATACAAAACTATTCATTCATCAATTAAATGTATTCAATTTACCTCCTTAATATAAGGTCACTTCCATGATGATGTTTGGAATAAGATTCCTTCTCCCAGGGTGCCAGTTTTTAGTTTTCCGTATCTGCAGACCATAACTCTCAAATCTCCAAGTAGGAATACACATAATAAAATGATTACATTATAGTAGAAGTGGGGTAGTTCTTAAAATTATTTATTTTTATTTCCCCTTTATTGAAATATGTTTTGATACATAACACTGTATATATAACTCTACATATTTTTAAATGATTACTATAATAGGGTTTTAAAAAATACGAATCATTAAATGAGTTGAGAAAGCAAAAACAGTCTTTTTTTACAACAGTTCTCAATACATGTAAATATTACCTTCAAATCTGATTACTTGCTCTACCTTCTTTTCAACTAAAAAAAAATAATAATAATAACAAGAAACACTTCTCCTAGTATCAGTGTGCGGGCTCAACCATCATCCCCATGGTGAAGCTCGGTCTCCTTAGACTGAAGTCCATTGACCCGCTCAGCTGCCGAGAGCGGGAAACCTGCAGGTGAAGGAACTAGGACCTCGGATCCAGAGCGACCTCCCCAGCGTCCTCTGTAGAGAGTTCAGGTGGAAGATCTTCAACCATCTGACTCGCACTTCCGCCCGCCACCGCCAGGGGCGCCCGGGCCTCGCGGAGCTGGCAGCGCGGCAGGGGCCGGTGGAGGCGGCGGTGGGGGTTGGGCTGGGGGTGTGTCTGCAGGTTGGGGCTCCCGCCCCGCGGGCTGCGCGGGGTCGCAGTGAGCTGAGGAGGAGGCGCTGGCGACCCCGAGAGGGAGGGAGCAGGCAGACCCCAGCTCAGAGCACCTGCCTGGACACCCTGGGTCTTTGGGGTGGGGGAGCCCCGGCGACTTCGAGCATGGACCCCGTGGCGGGAACCTTTCTCAGGATGCTGTTTCTTTTGTCTGCCCAGCCCTGGAGTACATTAGCAGCAGGAAATACTTGTGAGTACAGCACGCCTTTTAAAACTTATGCTGACAACTTAGAATTCGTGTAATTAAAAAATAGTAATAATTGAATTTTACAAATGGACTAGCTGGCCTGTTTCTGAAAATGAGGCATTTAAAAAAACATCGCAGAGTCCCAGCGTTTGGATGGGACGGTTTACAGTGGTTTTCCCACTCGTCAGGTCTATGAAACACAAAGCCTGTTTGACTTTTCGTCTGTGAACTGAATTTTGTCTCTGTGCTGTTGTTTTGAATATTCACTGAGAAAGCTCAAGTTCTGGTAAAACCTAAAATTAGCATGAGAATATTGAGGCGGACAGAGACCAGAGAGAGGAAGGAGAGACGATCATGCCAACGCGGTCATTTATTTCTATGCATTTTGCTGGGTTTATGTAAGAAGGAAAATCGCTGATGGGTGCTGGTGGGGCTCTGCAGAGCTGGGTACGGAGAACTCCGGCGCTGCACAGGCGGGCGGGCTCCGCGGCAGAGCTCAGATGGTGAATCTGGATAGTCAGAATTCCGGTAAGGACAGACCCGTCAAAGGTGGATGGCTTTTGCTGAAAGGAAAAGTAAAACCTGCCATTCAGGTTCATTTGCAAGTATACTTGCTTCTATATTGTGATCTGTTGTGTTTCTGATTTTGTGGGTTCTGTGAAGATGTATTAACCCCTCAGTTCTGAACTAGCACCCTGAGTGATCTGAAGATGCTAGCCAAACTGATTCAGCTGACCTCAGGGCATTTTAATCCGAAAATCAGAAAAAGTTTTCCAAGTGTTATTCAGATTAAAATCTCCATCACAGGGCTTTTCTTTCCTTGAGGGATTTTAAGAAAGCCCCCATGTCCTCCTTCCACACCATATTCCCTTGAATAATTTTTAAAAAATCAAGCTGTAGGGAGTAAGGTAAGCTAGTATGCATTTCAAGAAAGTGCTAGTAGGCATGCTTAGAAACTGACCTTGTTTCTGGATATCCAGATTTAGCTGGAGTGGGGGAGGGGAAACAACTCTGCCCTCACAGTGAAGTTTGTACTAAAGTGAAAAGCATTTTGTACAAATACAGTTACCCTTCCAGCATTCATCCATATATCCAGTCTGTGATACTTTTGTGCTGTCATCATTTAGTATTAGCTCATTTAATGCCATATTATGTGAGTCTCTCCTAAAAATGAGTGTTAGCAAATACTGCCCTGTGTTTCAGACACAATTTTAATTATCTTTGTGTACAACTTCCATGAGTTAGTTAAAATGGGGGCATTTACATGAACTCCGTAGGTCCTGCAGTCACTTTGTCACTCTGCCGAGAACTTAAAAATGACTAGTACTGAATGATTTGCTAGTATGAAAGAATTGTAGAATAATTGAATGCAGTACCCTGAGGTGCAATTAAAAAGTCACTGGAGGTCCCTCTTACTTAAAAGAAGCAGCTTCAACAGTCCTTCCCTTGTAAGATAAGTGGAGATCTGTGCTGCCTTTCTTGCTTCCTTCGTTGTGATTACAAGATACTGGCAAGATCAGTTGTTTGTATATTTATTTTTTCTGTTTGTGTTTTGTCCCCTGAAATCCACAGAGGTATGATGTTCTTCTTACTGAGCATCTTTTTAACAGTGGCCACCTGGGTCTCTGGCTGCCTCTTCAAATATCACTGCTAGTTTTAACTTTTTAGCCTGTTTTATTTAGATGTATTTGGTACTGTTGTTTAAAATTCAGTGAATTAAAAGTACCTATGTAAATTTGCATTGTTAAGAACATTTGAGATTCTATAGTTAAAATCCTTGACTACCAAACAGATGGCTGTTACAGTTGATTAAGTGTGAAGTATGTATTTAAATGACTTTGCAGACTAAAGGTTCATAGAGACTAAACAGAGTGATAATTTCTTGGTAATTGCATTTGACAGTATCCTTTGTAACCATAGCTTCAAAGGCTAGTGGATCTCATTATAACCCATATTAGCTAATTGGATCAATTAGGTTTTTCCTTAACTCTAGAATGTTTGGGAGGTGTCTGTCTATGTAGATTTATATACAAGCAAGGTGTTTCAAGCTTATATTTGAAATTTGTTATTACTTAAGTCAAGGTAGAGTTGTTTTTTTTTTTTCAGTCCTGTCCCATCATTTGAGAAATTCTAAAAAGGAGTTTGCCACCAGGGTGGGATTTAGGGTTATGAAGAAGAAATCATAAACATCAGCATTGCTTAAGGCTTTTGCTGGCTAAACTTTTTATTCCTAAGAAGTATTTTAAGAACTCAAGTAATCCTTTCAGACAGGATTTTAAAACTAACAAAAATGAAATATTCTTGAGCCTTAATAAGAAAATAGTGATAATTGTATGTAAATTTTTAAAAGGTACAGATCTTTCCCCCCAAAGGACATGTTTGCTCTGTTTACAACTTGTTCTCAGTAGTAAATCATACAGAGGGGTCAGCCTGGGTGAGCTTCTGGCATAAGGCATCCTCTCAAGGTATAAGACTTGCTTGAAACATTTGGCATCTCAGAAATTACCCATGTTTTGAAATGAATCTTTACAATTAATGGGAAGTTTTAAGTCAGGAAAAGTCTGCATGGAGAGAGTAATGTTTCTAAAGACCCAAAAGCATGGACTTTATGTATGTATGTACACACACACACACACACACACACACACACACACATAAATATATACAATCTCTGCCTTTTTGAAGATAAAACACACACACACACACACACACACACACATGTCTTTTTGAATTTAAAACAAGTTGAATGAGCAGCATCTCCAAATTTTGGCCTAGGACTTGATATTTAAAAATCATCTACCTCTACTTGGTTCGCCTTCTAGAACTTTCTGTACTTAGTCAAGATGGAAGTGTTATTCAAGTGGGGCTCTCCTCTTAAGTGGAACTGAAGAGGAAAGTTAGAATATAGGTCCCAAGTTAGAGTCCTGTTTGTGAGAAGATGTGAAGACAGTGGTTGGTTCACTTACTTCCCACTATGAGCCACAAGTGGAAGAAGGCAGTAGCTCTCTGCTTTAGGATTATTCCTGTGAATCTACTATTTCTTTGTGAATTTGCAGATCTTTGGGGAAAGGGGGAGGAGAAGAAGAAGAGGTATAATCTGTATAAGAAAGTGTCAATATTTTGATTGCATATTTAGTGTTGTAAATCTGTTTCCTGGATCACATATCACTTTGAGGAATAATGGTAGTCTTTCCTATTAAGGAACAACACAATTGGAAGTTAATTTACAGTTGAATTATTTTCCTAGAAGTTGCTCTCCTCCCTAACCCTATTCCCCACTGAAAAGAAAAAGAACTGAGGCATGTGTTAGACATTTCAACTGCTGTTGATGGTGATTATTTAACATGAATGATGACATTTATAGATGAAGGGATTCAATTTAATGAGTATGACCCACTCAACTCCAACTTGTAATTTTCTCTAGAATCTTCATTTTGTTTCCTTCCCCTGTCATAAGTATCCATGTTATGAGGGGGAAAAAAGATATATTCTGGCCCACGGCAGGTGGGGCATACAATTTGAATGACTGTTTTAGGAGTGATAATCAGGATTTGTATTTATCCATCAATATCTCTTCCCTTCTCGTGGCTGAATAGCATTCCATTGTGTGTGAATACCACTTTATCTGTTCCTCCATTGATGGTCTTTTGGGTTGTCTCCATATCTTGACTATTGTGAGTAATGCTGTGATAAACATAAGGGCGCATATATTTTGTCAAAAACTTCTTTTTTTTCTGGTCAGGCAAGAAAAGGAAATTTATTAAAAGGGAAATGAGAGGGTGACTGACCCTTCAGAAGAACCAGGGTCCTCCCTTTTTGATGGGGTCCTTCTTATACCCTGCCAATGGAAGATTCTCTGAGAGAATGATTTTTTAATTTAATTATTTTAATGTGTATTTGAATTTGTTTTGCTAACATTTGGTTGAGAATTTTTACATCTATGTTCATCAGAGATAGTAATCTAATTATTTAATTTCCTTTTCCTGTAATATCCTTGACAGATGTTATCTCTTTTTATGCTATAATTTCATTACTAAGTTGTAGTATCTATGAAAAAGTGAAAGTGTTAGTCTCTTGCTCATGTTCAAGTCTTTGTGACCTCATGGACTGTAGCCTGCCAGGCTCCTCTGTCCCTGGGATTCTCCAGGCAAGAATATTGGGATTTGGTTGCCATTTCCTTCTCCAATCTCAACCCACAGGTTGAACCCGGTTCTCCTACATTGTAGGCAGATTCTTTACTGCCTCAGCCACAAAGGAATTATTTTTAACGCTCTTCTCCTTTAACACATATAGTTAAGAGTTTAACATACTATTCTAAAATAATTTGCAGCATTCTATTTCTTATCTTAATCAAAGTTTTGTGTACTTGGATCTTTTTGTTTCAGCTTGAAGAGTTTGTTTCACCATTCCTTGTAAGGCAGGACTACTGGGGTGGTGAATTCTCTCAGCTTTATTTTGTCTGGGAAAGGCTTTATTTCTCCTTCCTTCTGAAGAATAACCTTACTAGATAGGGTATCTTGGATGGAAGGTTTTAATATGTCCTTTTGTTTTTTCCTGGATGCCTTGAAAATTGTTTATTTATGATTGATGTTTTACTTTTGACAGCTTCATTAAAGTATGTCTTGGACGAGGACTTTTTGTGGTGAGATAATAAGATATTCTGATAGCTTCCTGGATTTGTATACTGAGCTGTACCCTAGGTTTGGGAATTTCTCAACTATTGTCTCTTTAAGTAAACTCTGCTTTTTCTCACCTTTCTTCTCTTTCTGGGATGGACATTATTCTTATGTTGCCCTTTCCAGTGGAATCAGATGGTTCTCTTAGGGTACACTTTAAAATCCATAGTTCTCTTTCCTCTTCCACCTGAATTATTTTTATGTTTCTATCTTTAAGCTTGCTAATTCTCTCTGATCTGCTCTATTTCTAATGCATTGTAATGCACTCTTTATCTCATTTATTGAGTTCCTCAGCTCT